TCTATTCTATTCTATTCTATTCTATTCTATTCTATTCTATTCTATTCAAGAACCTTGGTGGCGCAGCAGACTAAAGTGCTGTTAAGTAACACCAGCTGCCTCAATTACTGCAAGTTCAAATCTCACCACGCTCAAGGTTGACTCAGCCTTCCATCCTTTCGAGGTAGGTAAAATGAGGACCCGGTTTGTGGGGGCAATAAGCTGACTTTGTATAAAAAAGAACACCGCTTAGGGGGCGGCCGAAATCCCTACTAAGCAGGTATATACAAACATATGAAGGCTATTGCTTAACGCATTGTAAGCCGCCCTGAGTCTCTGGAGAAGAGCGGCATATATTCTATTCTATTCTATTCTATTCTATTCTATTCTATTCTATTCTATTCTATTCTGATCTGGGTGCTTCCCCACTGCCTTCCAGATGTGTGGCCTTTAACCCACAGAATTTTTGTCAATGACTTTGCCAGCTGAAAAATATTAGGAGTGAAAGTCCATCCATCTGGAATGGGTGGGAAAGCTAACCAAGCCCATGTTCAATGACCAAGGAAAAAGAAGAGGTTTGATCATGGATTTCTCTACCTCATCTTGGAGATCCTCTTCCTGGAGCTCTCCACCAAGGGCTTGCATTACTTTTGTCTTATAGACTCTCCAGAATCCCTGCGTCATCGTTGCAACAGCCCAGTTCAGCTTTTATGATCTCTGTTTCTTCAGATTCAAGAGAAGCTTCAAGCTTTACTCTTCCTTTTCCAGTTTCTGCGTTGAGCATCAAGCAAGTTAAGTTCCAGGGGCCATTGTGTCATGGCACTCAGCTGCTCTGCAGGCTGTGCAGGGTATTAGTAGCTCAGCTAGAAGCTAGTGTGTCCTGCTACTTCACACCTGTTTCTAGCTGCCTCCTCCTTAGATCTGGTGTCTTCATTAACAATTCAGAAGCGTACAGCATTCATCGCAAAGAACAAAGTAGAATCAGATACATGGCTGACCCAGAATAATAATGGATGACAGCTCTTGGGGGAAAAACAGGCAACCCACTCCTAGATAAGTTCTGGTAAAAAAAAATATGGTTGTCTTCTTCATCTCACACATGGAAAACTAATCCTTCTAGGCTACCCTTGTCCATTAAACTTTTCTTTATGGGCAAACACCCTTTTTTATGTAGAAAGTCCCCCCCCCTTCAGAATGTGCCACTTGGCAGTTCCCTAATCCCAAGGAGACTGTTTCTCCCACTTTGGAATCACAAGGAAATGGCAAAGGAAAGCGTCCCTAAGTTGCTGCTTTACACCCCCATTGTCTGCTGCACCCTGTAACTGATCTCTTGCAAGAACGGACTTTAGAATGTAAGAGCTAAGCAGCAGGCTTAAAATAGCTGCTGACAGATAAATTATTTTGTAGGGCTGATAGCCTTGCAGACCGGCATCTTCTCCTTCCTGGATTTAGTTTCTGCTTTTGGCAGAATGCCAATCTCTACCCCTGCCCACTCACTCTGCCCAATTGTCCAAATGGTGTCTTAAAAACCTGCAAGAAAGCTGAATTTATTTATTATTTTATTTTATTTTATTTTATTTTATTTTATTTTATTTTATTTTATTTTATTTTATTTTATTTTATTTTTATTTTATTTTATTTTATTTTATTTTATTTTATTTTATTTTATTTATTTTATTTTATTTTATTTTATTTTATTTTATTTTATTTTATTTCTATACCGCCCTTTTCCCGAAGGACTCAGGGCGGTGTACAGCCTGATTAAAAGCACAAAGACAGACAAAATTTAAAAATAATTAAAATTATTAAATAATTGGCTCAATTATAAAACCCCCAAATTTAAAATCCCATATTTAAAACCAATTAAAATCTTTACATTGATAGCCCGGCCTGGAGGAACAACAAGGTTTTGAGGGCACAGCGAAATACACGGAGAATTGCCTGTCACTTTCCAGATTTATGCTCTAACTCCGTGATGGCAAACCTATGGCATGCATGCCACAGGTGGCACGCAGAGCCATATCTATGGGCATGCAAGTGTTGTCCTAGCTCAGCTCCAGCACTAATTTTCAGGCCTTCCGGGCCCACCAGAAGTCAGGAAACGGGCTGTTTCCGGCCTCCAGAGGGCCTCCGGGGGGGTGTGGGGAAGGCCGTTTTCACCCTCCCCAGGCTCCAAGAAAGGCCTCTGGAGCCTGGGGAGGGCGAAAAACGGGCCCACCAGTAACTTTTTTGCCGTCATGGGGGGGTCGGGTGGGGGGGTCGCGCACACATGCGCAGGGTGCGGGGGGCATTGAATTATGGGTGTGGCCACACACGTGTGCAACCCCCCCTGTTCCCCCCGCTTTTGGCACGCAACAGCAAAAAGGTTAGCCATCACTGCTCTAGCTGTTGAAGAGAAGACAGTTCTCTTTCCATCACCCAACTTGCTTCCTTCTCTCCTTAGCTAATGACGGATGCCTGTCCGCTGCTTTTCCATATCAATAAATGCCTGATTATTTCTCAGCCTGGTGCAGCAACATGATAACAAATTGTTAATGAACTGGCTATGCCTTTGTCTTGTGCTGACAACCATATGCTAATGCCACAGACTCCTTTGTGCTATGCTTCCCGTAGCCATTCTACATCAAACGTGGGTTTCTCACAAAGCTGAAGCCTGTTGGGAAGTGTCTTTAGATCCAAGAGTTGTCAAGTGAATTTTGTCACAAATTTAAACTTGGGATCAATTTATCTACTCATGTCGTTTCAATGAGGGTGACTGTGGCTCAGAAGACATCTGGAACATTGGAAATCATGGCACTGAAAAATTCTGATGCTTGTTTGGAGATGGGGAGAGGAGAGAAAATAATTAAGTATTTTTTCTAATGAACTGATGTCTGAGAAGAGAAGACCTCCTTCTCAAACGATCCTCTCTCCCAAACTCCGCCCCCAAACCTAAGTCCTACGGGACTCCTTCATTACATACTGCCACACAGTGGTGAAATCCAATTTTTTTTACTACCGGTTCTGTGGGCGTGGCTTGGTGGGTGTGGTGTGGCTTGGTGGGCACTTTTGGGGGAAGGATATTGCAAAATATCCATTCCCACCCCACTCTGGGGCCAGCCAGAGGTGGTATTTGCCGGTTCTCTGAACTACTCAAGATTTCCGCTACCGGTTCTCCAGAACCTGTCAGAACCTGCTGGATTTCACCCCTGCTGCCACACATATTTCAACCACTGGAGACCAAAGTGTGTGTATGCACATGAGCACATGTGTATGCTGTACTCCAGCTTCAGAAAGCTAACCACTTCTCCCATAGGGATAAACAGTCAGGCTGGTCAACCCGTGGCAAGCTATTGACTTGATGGAAAAATAGGGCATAAAAAGCCACTAGATTTGAGTGTTCATGCAAATCTATTAATAAATAATTTTAAGTTCACTCACCCAAAGAAGTTGTGGGGTCAAAACTTCACATCTTGAGTTGATACATTACACCCCATTGTTTGCACCCCTGTAACTGATCTAATAATATTATTTATAATGTTTGGATTATTTAAATAGCTAAGATTTATAGATTCTTAAGAAGGAAAAATGTATTTTCCCACACAAATTGTTTTTATCAAATTGTGTGGGAAAATACATAATTTTATCATGGAGATTTTTTGTTATTACTTTAATGAATGGGGGTGGGGGAAATGAGTGGTGTTTTGTTGCAGATTTGAATCAAGAAGATCCAAGGCCATTAGGCCTAAATCTCCCGAGAGACTTTTTCATCATTCCATCCAAAAAGGAAATGCTACTCATAATTTTGCAGTTAGATCATCTTTCAGGATTCTGCCGTGCAGACTCTTTTCCCAGAGAAGTGTCACCTGTTGTAACGTAAGGCAGTTGTCATGCCTGGAAGCCATATTACCTGTGTGCCTTGAGGATCCAGGCCTGCCACAATCATGGGATGGAATTATATTCTAGTTATGTTCATCTTAAAGGTTTAAAGTGGAATTCCAAGAAAGGATAAAGAGTTGGAAAGTCGCTGGAGGATGGCTTTTCTTTTCAAAGAATGGTAGATTCAGACCTGCAAATCAGATCAGGAAACAGAGGCTGAAACTGTATTAGTTTTGTTTTAACAAAACCCTGCATTGCATTATATATAATACATAGTTGCTAATAACAGAAGTGCTACAATAAGAAACAGGAAGTTTTACAAACAGCAACAGAGCAGAACTAAAAAAAAATCTACCTAGTATCAGTTTAAAAAATAATATTTTTGCCAAAACAAATAAACAACAAAAGATGAAAAGGATATAAATGTAATAAATGCATTAAGCACTCAGAAATGCACGCAGACATATCTACTGATAAATGAAGGGAGGAATTAGAAACATATCTATTTATGTAAAATAGAGGTGAGATTTTCGGTAGCAGTTCTTTGGACAGGATGCTGATTGAATATTCTTCCTTGCCTTCTTCTACTGGAAACAATGGAACTTCAGGGGTTAGTCTAATCATGGATTACTGTCCTGAGCAAGACATTGGAATAGATGGCCTCTAAGATATTTTCCACATCATGCATTCTGAATCTAAAAAAGTGAATGATTATAAATGAGCTTCAAATGGTTTTATGAGGAAATTGGAGGTGCTTGCACTGTGGAAATACACTAGCACTGGAAGAACAGAGTTCAGATTAAAATACCCCGGAAAAAGGCAATGCAAAGTCATGATTCTGCCAAGGAAACCATATAGATGGAGTCACCAAAGCCAAGATGACACTTTTATGTTTAGGATCACACCAATATTCCCAATTATAATACTATGTTAAATAAATTTATTATGTAGCTTTGAATGTCATTCTGTAGCAGAAATACAGTACATGCTATAAATCCAACAAACGAGTATGCTTGGTTGATTTGAAAAGTCTTTTAATGAATTTCAGGTCATGTTGCTTGTTTGTTAATCAACCATAACTGCCTTTCCCTGAATTTGGTCTAATTTGCAAACCTTTTTATCTTCGTAAATGAGACTTTGAATTGAACTGGCCATTAATATTTGATGTTAGGATAAATCAGTGTTTTTCAAACTCAGCAATTTTAAGGCAGGATGTGCACTTCAACTCCCAAAATACCCCAGCCAGAATGGGAGTCAATTCTGGGAGTTAAAAAGTCCACATATCTTAAAAGTTGCCGCAAAGATTTGATTAATTTGTCATTTATTTTTTCCAGCTATTACATTCAGATGAATTGTGGAAACTTGGAGATGCATATTAAATATCTAGAAGAAATATATTCACAGAAGTTATGTTTCCTTGACGCTCCCATTGGTCATTTCATTCATAACCACGATTGGCTACAGAACGTCACCTCATGCATATTCAAATCAATTTGGAAACGCTCGGGGGATGGCGCCATGAGATGACGTCACGCGCGCCTATCGGAAACGGAAGTGAAGCGTCCTTTCTCTCTCTTTCTCTCTCCGGCGAGGTTCGGAATTGGAATATGGCTCCCAAGAGCTCTCGTCGAACGGGTTCGCATAAGACGCACTCCTTGGCCCGCCAGTGGAAAACGAAGCGGCGGCGACGAGATCTGGATCAGATCCACCACGACATGGTGCCTGAGAACGCGGCGAAGCTGCTGCGCCAAGAGCTGGATCCGGACCTGCCTGGCAGTGCCCAGCACTACTGCCTGCATTGCGCGTGCGTCAAGAGAGAAAGGCGGTGGGGGGGGGAGGAATACCCCTTGCATATAGAGATAAGAATTAGACCTGACCAACTTTCTCGGTTGTGGGATAGAAAACTGTCTCTTTAGACCAGTTTCTCAACCTTGACAAGTGGTAAGATGTGTGGACTTCCAATTCCCAAAATTTCCCAGCTAGCATGTTGTTTGGGGGAATTCTGGGACTTAAAGTTCTCGGCTTAAAGTAGCCCATTTTTTAAAAAAATGCTACTTTAGACATAAATGAGAGTTGCCTATCAAAATGTAAGATTTTAGCTGCAGAATGTATGCAGGAAAACTTTTAAAAGGCTGTTTTTTTCTTTTTCAAAGAAAGGCTGAAGAAGTCCTATTTTATGGGTTTAAAAAATTAAATTAGTTAGGATGCAAAAAACAAAAACCACCACCAAATGCTTAGGCAGTTGCTAGGTGGTAACAAAGAGCCAGCGATTTCTGCGTTATTTTGCCATCCCATCCAGATTTTTGCAGTCCAAACCTGGTGCCCTAATTGTAGACAAAGGAAGCAAATATGAAATTGGACTCTTACATTTCCTTTCAATTTTTGGGGTGGGGGGGGAGAGAAAAACTGCAGTCCAAATGTGGTCACTATTTTTAAAACTTTATTTGGTAATCCTGTACATTTCGTTATTTCCATTTTAGGGAAGGGCATGTAATGGAGAGCAGCTTATGATA